CAAATAATTTCTAATCGATTCCATTCATAAAACACATTAAATAAAATCGCTGTCTGCTAACTTGACGCATCATAAAATTTGTTAATTACAAGAAAAATACTATTTCCCAAATGTTTAAATGCTTTTCCCAAATTTCCTCAAACGATTCCCAAATTATATAGACATAAATAAATCAGAAATATTCAATTTGTCTGCTATCTTGTCAGTAGTACTCGTTTATCTTGGCGCGAAGTGACATAAAAATGAAACGAACTGAGATGACTGAGACCGTGTCGCAGCTCTCATTAATCTGATTAGGGAACGTCATATTCCTTATCGTTTAGAAAACGGAGATTTGGTCATTCAAAATGACGTTATGATATAATTGATCAATATGGTAATATATGTAGTTTAAAAAAAACCGCTTTTTTCAAATTGTTGGAAAAAACCGGAAAAATTTCGGTTCTTTTCCGAAAAATTGATTTTTTTGGAAAAATTGCTGTTTTTGCTATGTAAAAGACATAATAAGTAACTTCTAAATTCCTTTATAAAATTAATGCGATCTATGAAATTATGTAGCATTACTTTTATTAAAATTTTATCCTTCTATTTTTATAGTAAAACCTAATCTAACCTTTCTTTAATATATGGCAAAGCTTAAGTAGACAGATTTTTAAGTCTAGTTTGCCACACTGGTTTAATGAACTCCTGAAATGTCTTTTTGGCATTTATTTTTTTTCCAATATTTTGTTACGAATCCAGTTTAAATCTAAATTACACGCAAAAAAATATTTTGCTGCTCCAGCTAGAATCATAGCTGTTTTTTGTATCTGATAGAAAATTATGTATTATACGCATAGAATTTATAGCACAAATCTAAATTCTATCTCTGTCATCTATATGATTAGGTGCAATACATATACAATATCACAGTACTTGCTAGAAATTTATCTATTTTAGTTATTTTTCGTACTTAGATAATTTTCGCTATAACTCCAAGATCATTTTTTGAGTGTATTTTCTAGACCTATTATTATCATATAAACATGATGTTTGGACTCTATATTTTTAATTTTTGCATTAATGATGCAATAGTGTATGTTTTGTATGTTTTATTGAATATATTATGCGACCTCAACCTTTTATACAATTTCAAAATTTCTGTCAACTTATTTCGCTGTGTATCCTATACGCAATTATTTTCTTTACGGAAAGAACCGAGAAGTAAACGTGGTAGGTTTTACGAGCACGCGTGAATTTTTTCAAAATGAATTTTTCTACCCTTGGGAAAAAAAACGAAAAAATCCGCGGAAAAATTGGAAAAATTGGTTCTTTTTTCCGATCCTTTAAAACTGTACATAGTAATTATTCACTTTTATTCTCTATGGTTGTTTTTAGAAATTTTATTCAATATTTAGGTTACATTCCAAAACATCTTTTCCGAAGAAAATTTTACTTGATATAATATAGTATACGTTACGCATACTACATATTTTCGAACAAAATTTTCCTTGGAGAGGACATTTTGGAATGCAGCTAAGGAATAGAAATAACG